ACTAATATATACTATATATATATATATATATATATATATATATATATATATATATATATATATATGAGAGAGAGAGACTAATGAATAATATAAAAAATATAACCTGGTCAATTTTCAATGGATCTCCTTCCAAAAGGCGGGCATCAGCAGGGATGATGTCCCCAAGTTTGACACTGATAATGTCCCCAGGAACAAGAACAGATGCATCTTCCTCACTCCATCGACCATCTCTAAGGACCTAATTGATTTTATGGGAATCACGGCTTAGATTTTCTCACTCATAAAATAAAAGAACTATCTCGCAAAGAAATAGTTAAAACCGAAACCAAGTATAATGAATTCATTGATTGGCATACAAAATAAAATGAATCAAGGGCCTGATTTTCTTTTCCAATTATCACTTACGTAAATGGTGGGTACTACAATAAAATCTCTCTCTTTCTCTCTCTTCCCTCTCTCTCTCTCTCAGTTTGAAGCTAGCTAACCTTAGCTTTGGGAGCGAGGCGAGCCATGAGAGCAGCTGCTGCATTACCAGCGTTGTTCTCCTCAATGAAACTGATAGTGGAGTTAATGATAAGAAGGGTTATGATTCCAACGAAGTCTTGCCAATCGGGAGGTTTCCCCTGCACCCAATTCCCAAAATTCAGTAAAAATAACAGTTTCTATCGCTTCATTTTGAATTATCGAGGGAAACATGAGAGAGAAAAACCAGTAAGGAGAACCAGAAAGCAGAGAAATGGCAATATGAATCGAAAGGAGCACTCACTCCTCCATTTGCAAGGGCAATGGCCATGATCGCTGCAGCTTCCATGACCCATGATAATGGGTTCCACATAAACCCCAGAAACTTCAAAACTTTGCTTTCCTGAGCAGTCAATGAAACAGGAATGAAGAAAGAGAGAGGCAGAGGGAGAGTTCATCAAATAAAGCAGGACATGCCATATACAATGAAACCCCCAAAATTCAACAAACAGAGGAAAAACAGAAGAGCACAAGCTCCATCAAGTTCAGACACTTGAGAGAGGACAAGCTCCATCAAGCTCAGACACTTGCGACTGAGAGAGAGCACAAGCTCCATCGAGTTCATAAGAATTGAGAGAGAGAGAGAGAGAGAGAGAGAGAGAGAAACCATTTGTTCGAACCTTTTTCTCTTCGAGTTTGTTGTGCCCAAAAATGCCCAACCTCTCTTGGGCAGCATCGCTGGTGAGACCCTCTTTGGTACATCTCAGATTCTCGAAAACCTCTTCAATGGGTATGTTTTCCTGAATCAAAACCAGTTACAAATTTACCCAAAACCAAAAACGAGGCACAAAAAAACAAGACCCAAGAACCAAGATGCCTCAATAAAAGAACAAAACGGCAAAAAACACAGAGAGTTTCAGATCCTCCGTGTACCAAATCAACAGCTTCCTTGAGAACAGCTTCCAAAACCTCAGCTTTCTCTCCCATCTCTGCCAAAACTGAAAGAACCCCCAAAATCCAGATCAAAAAAATAAAAAACCAGTGACTTTTAAGAGAAAAAAACACCCCTATATACTAGCACACGATGGTTCAACAAGAAACAGTGGAAGCATACCAGATTTAGGTGAGCAACACTCAAAATGGATATTCTCTGTCTAAACGTTTATCTTTCTATAAAAACACAAATAAAAATTTAGTATCCGTCAGTTTTCAGTTATGTGAGAAGTAGGACGTGACCTCCATGGATGGATGAGAGCTAACGAAGTTGTTTTTAGCGAGAGAGAGAGTTCTTTTTTTAGAGAGAGAAAGAGTGGTACTGGGTTTGCAGTTACACAACACCCAAACAAAGGAAGTTCCAGAGGGTAAAGTGGTGTGAATATTTGCTCATTATTTATCTCACATTTTCTTAATTTCTCATCCTTACCCCCGCCAGCTCTCCATATTTTCTGTCTAAGAGTTTTCAATTATACCCTTGCTTAAATAAATTTTCTTGTAAGAAATGAAACTTCAAAGTAAATAATATGTCAAAAATTCAAATATAAAATTTGAAGAAAAAAAAAATGTAAGGTGTTAATATGTAAAAGGAAAATGCTAAGTAAAAAACTATCCAAAAAAGTTGTTTTCCAAGTTGGAAAACCTTATAGTTAATTCTCTTGATCTCGACATGTGGAGATGTGGGAAAAAAAGATTTTAAATCTTAAAAATAATTTATCTTGTAACACATGTCTAGGTTGGTTATTTTAAATATTTTTATAGATATGCTTAATATACACTTTTTAAAAACTATTAAAATTTCATATTTGTGTATGAAAATATATATTTTTAAGGCTTAATAAAGGTTTCTAACACATGAATTAAATCTTTTAGAAGGATTTAGAGGTGCGCCTTCGATTATATATAAATCGCTTCATATTTTAGAGGATGCAGGGTTAATGTAATGGAAAAATTAGTGAAGAAATGCCAATGATATTCTTGGCAGTGTTATGGAATAACGGTGGGTAAGAAATTTCGCTTATGAGAGATAAAACCCGCCTGCAAAAGTTTGCAATTTGTGTAACAACTCGTTTTAAAAACTGTACCGATCTAAATTAGACGAATCATTGTTCCAATTAAAAAATAAAAAAATAAAATCAAATATAAAGAAAAACAAAAAACTCGAATAAACATCGTCAAACAAATGGTATTCAACAAAGAGGTTTAATGTGTTTTAATGTGTTTGAGAGAGAATAGGGATCAATCCCAATTGTGGTGATCAACCCAATAAATTAACGAATCATATTTGGATCAGTGATTATTGATTATGATCGGCAAACTTTAAACCTCGATCATCATCGTCAAAGTCTCTTTCTAACTAATTAGGTCCGGTTACATGAATTTTAGTGTGTTACTTTGCTCTATTAAGAGTCATACTTTCAGTGAAACCATAAATATAGTATACTCCCACGAAAACATACTTTCAGTGAAACCATAAATATAGTATACTCCAACGAAAACATGTCTTCCGCTCTTTCCATCTATGAAAACCCTCCACTGCCCCCAAATTTTGGGCGTCACCTTAGCGACCCATATGAAAACTATTAATTATATAACCCATCTTAAAAAGTAAGTAAATAGATAAAAATAACAATCAAATGTACCATATGTTGTTAAAAAAAAGGGCATCTTTAAGAAAAAGGGCTCGGGTTGTGGTGGTAATACCCCACACAGTAGTCACCACAGAATGGTTTTCATTTCCACCATTAACACGAGCTAACTCCTCGTTTAATTGAAAAAATGATCAGGGACTGTTTTTCCCCCCGAATTACGAAAAAAAAAGAAAAAAAAAAAAAGGAAGACTGGCAGTGAATAAGGACCGTCCAATTTTTAAAAAGAGTGCTTTCACAATTGTGACCCGCAATGGATCAAATATCCCAATTTTTAGAAAGAGTGCTTTCACAATTTTGACCCGCAATGGATCAAATATCCATCTTCACAATGGATATGAAAAAATTATGGGCCCTTCAAAAACTAAAATGGATGGTGTTTAAAACAAATTGAAAAACAATTTATTTTTTTTTTTTGGAAATTTACTCTAATATGCTCCAATTTTTAAAAATCAAAGTTCCATCCTCTATATATTGCAATTTATGCTCATGACCCTTTTTTTCAATTTTTTTTACCCAAAATACCATTGTTTGAACTTTCAATATCCGAACCCAAACTATTGAGAGTAAATTACAAAATTCCAAAAATCCAGGAGATATTACTGTAAATTTCCTTTATTTATTTTATTTTTCAGATGTATGTTCTGAACCTTAAAACTCTGAAAATTCATCTCTAAAATGGGCATCGGGGATAAAAATTTAGAAAAATATATTACTTTGTGCCACTATTATGCCCGTAAAAGTAAGCATATAATATAATATGGCTTCCTCAGGAGAGCAATCTATATGACAAAACACCATACATACGTCAACCCTCTCGTTATTTTCTTTAAATTTTGATGGCATTTGTGTAAAAACATAGTAACCGATGGCATATCCGCAACTTGCCCTCGGCTTCGTCGACACGTGTCTGGCGCAGGAATTGCTATTCCCCTAATTTTCGGAGCAAATTTTCCACCCTTACGCCTAACCTAAACTTACGCCCCTCTTCTCTCTCTACGCAATTGATATCCAATCTCTCTCTCTCTCTCTCTCTCTCTTTTGTTGACGTTTCAACGCATGATGAGGTAGGTCGAAAGATAGAGCATAGAAGCCATTTGCTATGGTGGGTCCCTGTTCACCTTTGATTTTTTTTAGCAAAGCTCAGTTTTGATGTACGGCTCAGATGGTGACACTGTGAATGTTAAATAATTGATGTAGTGGATCTACTCCATGTTATTTCATATCCATTTTTAAATGTGAATTATAAAAAGGAAATTATACCTCCCAATTTATTAAAAAATGATGTATCGTATATGGTGCACCATTAAGTTCATTATATAATGGATGGTGGTAGCAAACATTCACATGGTCCCTTAATGACAATTTAGAGGTCCCTAATTTAGAAAATAAAAACTAAAAATTATTCGAAGGTTTCTAATTTTAAAAATAATAAAAGTTTCGAAATAGTTTTAAAAGAAAAATAAAAATTGGGGATTTGGAAAGATTTCCAAATATTTGGAGAAAATAGGTTTGAGTAGAAAAAGTCCACAAGAAATTAGGAAGTTTATCGGAACTTAAACAAATTTTGGTCCTAAATACAAGGCACATTTTTCGGTTTAATATTTTTAAATATTTGACTCGATATTCCATGCTATAGTTTGGAGTCCTAAGTTCGGTGAAAATACCAGCCATGCCATGGACGAGGGGTTCTCCTGCCAAATCAAATCAAAACCGTCCATTCAAGAAATTAAAGAAAGACAACAAAGCGGAAAGAGCTGGGGGTTCAAGATCCGACGGTTCTCCTTTAGGTCATTTTTATTTGATATGTGAGACCACACTAAATCATAGTCGTTGAAACATGACCAACGGTCCATGATTCATGGGTCAAGGTTACATATTACTCAAATGCAACCACTCCTACCTATAAATTAAGGGCCTTAGGTGACGTTCTGCTGGACACGTAACGCCTATTTGTATTAAAATAGCGTGTTCCCCATTTTCTATTGCATTTAAACAAGGATACGGTTTCACCTCTTAAAAATCTATTTTTGAGATGGATTTTTGGACCTAATTTTTAATTTTAAAAACCTGTAATATTTAATGAATATAAAAAAAAAAATTAAAAATTAAAAATAATAATTTTATTTAAAAAAAAAATCTGGACCAATTGTTTTTAGGTGGGAAACAATTTTACGCCCAAGTTGATTTTAGCCCAAAAAGAGATTATACATGCTCCCGCGGGAGCATATCCTAGATTTTGTAAGACCCCCTTGAGAAGTACTCTCAGGACGTCAAAATTCGTGGATGTAATTTATGGAGTACTCCCTCTAGGGGCTAACCTCATGAGTCCAAAAAACAGAAGAAAAGTCTACTTCTTGGTGTATTTATCGGAAAATAATGTCCTAAGATCGAGCATAGTGGGATGACTAAATTTAAATGCTTCTTAACTAAAAAATATAACATTTTTTTAATGAAATTACTCATGATTATTGAGTGGATCCAAAATTTGACATCTAGAAAATAATCTTGAGCGGGTCTTTTACCAGATAGAGCAAATGTATAATGTGCTCCGGCGCCAATACTAAAATTACCAATAGAGTGTTTTCGTTGAAATTTTTGTAAATATGAAACAACCCATGCTCAAGATCAATAAATTTGCATTGTATGAAGAGATAAAATTGATGATGATTATTAGCCTTTTGGGAAAGATAGAGAGCCACCCTTTCAATGATCGAGAAGCTTTCCTTTTCTTAGTCCTTAACAAAAGCCTCCTTTGGAAATGTTTAATAAGATCAGTTTCATAATTATTCTGACCACAAAATTGGCATGAGATCCCCTCCTTTTTCTTTTCTTTTTTCAAAGCCATTGATTTAACATTAGATTCATGCCCTATCTTTATATTATTCTAAAAGAAATATCTATGCTTTAGGGAAGTAAAAAGGAACGAAGTCCCACTTTTTGTGGGAAAGGACCAAGTTACCCTATGAACTCTCTTAAACAATGGCAAGTCACATTTCATTTTTGTGTTGCTGGAGTTTGTATTTGGGTGTGGTTTGTAAAAATTTGCAACCTTAAACAATCAAATAAATGCGCACCTCTAAATTTTATCATAAATATTATTTTAGTGTAAAAGATTCTTAGGATGACTTAAGAATTTAATTTCAATTTTAATTATAAATTTTTAAACTCCCAATATTGTTCACATCAAGTAGATTTATAATCACTTGAAAATCTAGATAATATGCTGCATGTGCGATATTTTTAGGATTCAAAATTTTGTTTTTTTTTTTGTATAGTCCTAAATTTCGATATCGAGATGATCAATGAGAGGGTTTTCAACATCAACACAACCTTTTATAATGGATTTTTGAGGTGCACCTTAATTCTACATTCTAAGATAGCAACCTTATATGAACTTTTTCCATATGATTCTAAGCATAGGACCATAGAACCCTAAAAAACGTTTTTGGCTTCCGAAGCTGAAACTCTGAACATTCCGCCCCCATGCGGAGAGGGTAGGGGATGGAAGGGCAGCTTCCATTTTTGGAACCGGTTCTAAAATGGAGAGCAAGTCGAGGCCGCACCTTGTATCTCCCCCTATGGCGCAGAAATATTCGGAGGTTTTAACTTCAGATGCCCAAATTTCCGCCCAATAAACATGCCCCTGGGAAAAACCAAGAAATTTCAAATCATGAATCACGTGAACCCACTTAGCCTACAAGAATACGAAAAAAAAGGCTACCACCA